ACCACCTGGATATTTTGAAAAAGATGGGTTCAGGTGTATGTTCTTCCCCCACCCTTAGGAATTTAGTTGTAGTATCATGTTCCTCATGTCTATCTGTTCTTTTAATTTAAATAGAGGGAGAAACATATTCAGCATAAAGGTAAAGTTTCCCCTTGACATTAAATCTAGTTGTGTCCAACTCTGGGGGGTGGTGCTTATCTCCATTTCTAAGCTGAAGAACCAGCGTTGTCCGTAGATGCCTCCAAGGTCATGTGGCCGGCTTGACTTCATGGTGTGCTGTTACCTTCCTGCCAGAGCAGTACCTATTGCTCTACTCACATTTGCATGTTTTCAAACTGCTAGATTGGCAGAAGCTGGGGCTAACAGTATTAGCTCACCACGCTCCCCGGATTCAAACTACCAACCTTTTGATCAGCAAGTTCAACAGCTCAATGGTTTAACCCGGTGCACCACCGCTTTTGGCTATTGCACTGGTTACCAAGGCTAGGGCATTCAAAATATTGGAAAATTTGAAGTTTCAAAACCTGGAACCATTGCAAAATGCCTTGGTGTCGTCTTCTCCTTTTGGAAGCTGTTGAAAGTATTCTTTGAGGCACTTGTGCTTGTAGTTGAACAAAGTATATAGAATAATCTCCCTGGTGTAGCTATTCTCTTTCATGAGCTTCTCAGAGAGTTTGTTTTGGTGTTGTGTACATCCAAGTTGTCTCCGACTTACGGTGAACCTAAAGCAACCTATATTGTCATTTTCTTGGTATAACTTGTTCACTGATGAGTGATTTGCTGAGATGGAGAAGCCATGACGTATTCAAGGTCAATTTGCAGATTCCTTTGGCTAAGCCGATATTTTAACCTTTGTCTACCAGAATCCTAATCCAACATTAATAACATCATAATGGCTCACATTGAGAAATATGTATATTCCAAAATTGGTTGAATAGTAATGGGGTTTTGCTTCTGTAAATTCATTCTGTGAATCCTACTATCTGAGGGACAGAGACTGATATTTGATTACACTGGAGAGTTTATTGTTCTTTGGTTTCATCGTTTTAAACTTTGAAAAGATGGGATAACATTGTTTTCAATCTTTTCTCCTTTCTTTTCTGCCAGCTTTGCTATAGTGTATATGTATCTATCTCTGCCTAAGGTTGTGTTATATATTTGATCACAAACACAGAAGAAACATAAACTGTTTATTATATATTATTTGTGAAGGTGATAAGTTCATATTAGTTGCTATTTTTCTTTAAAATCGCTTGTTACTGTCAGAATAGCACACAGAGATGTGTGCACTGCACTGTATGCTCAAAATAGTACTTACGCCTCTCAGGGAAATAGGCATTGTTTAATAGAAAGCACCTTGTATTCATGAAGTCAATACTGACTCAGAAGCAGCTTGAATCTAATACTATGTTCTTGTCCATTTGTCTCCATTTCAGGTATTTATTGCATGGTGTTAGAATGTCAGGAAACTTACTGAAAAACCAAAATGGGCTATATTTTTCTCATTAGGGCTTATTTTTATCTTCTTTTATCTGATGTAGGCTTTTTATTTACCACAGTGGAACCTAATTGGCATGCATGCGCACACAGTGAAAGATCTGACAGGACTGTGAAGCCTTACTGCCTCAGGATAGTAATAAATAAGAATCCCAGTATTTTGTTTTCCATTTTGAAACCGGATTATTTCCTGAAAGTGCAGGTGGAGGAACCACTGCCTGAAGCACCCCTCTCAATTTGAGGAAGAATCCAGTTTCACTTCTGTTATTCGGCGTGCAAATGAGCCACTTTCTTTGTAAATAGATCTCAATATTATGAATGTTTGGATAGCTCCCGAAACGTTAATCAAGCAGTCCTTTGCAAAAATGCTAAAGTATTGCTCTGAGGGGAGAAAAGACTGGTTTAAACCTTCTTCTTTCTCTGAATTGAAGTCATTGTTTCGGGTGTCAGCTGTTATTTCAAGGCACCCTGACCCAAAAAGGTGTGGCAATGACCCAGCAAAGGATTTGAATTCTTGTTTAAAAGTCCTGTGAGTATAGTATATTCAAAATGCTGTGGTCCTTATACATAGTATAGGGTTGGCAGACACTTAAAGGATGGATTAGTAAAATGAAGTAATAACCCTTCTTCAATCTGTCACAAGAATGTTTTTTTAAAATAGGACTCTTGATATTTGGAGAGAAATGTTCTGTCTGCAAGGCTGTTTAGCCCATGTCTTATTTGGTTTTTCTTCATTCTGTAATAGCCTTCCACAGCTTGTTATGGCCATAAAAACTACGGATAATGGGGGTTGTAATTTTTTGGGGTTTTTTTTGGTCGTGTCAGGAGTGACTCCTGGTGTGAGAGAATTGGCCGTCTGCAAGGACGTTGCCCAGGGGACGCCTGGATGATTTGATGTTTTTATCATCCTTGTGGGAGGCTTCTCTCATGTCCCTGCATGAGGAGCTGGAGCTGATAGAGGGAGCTCATCCGCCTCTCCCCGGATTCGAACCTGCGACCTGTCGGTCTTCAGTCCTGCCGACACAGGGATTTAACCCACTGCGCCACCGGGGGCTCTTGGGGTTGTAGTTGAATGGGTGCCATATTGGAGAATGAGATTGGCCAAAATCCAGTGTCCACTAATTAAACAGATTGATTAGCAATGGCCCTTCTGTCTCTACACGTTCAACATGGCATTTTAATATTTGACATCTACCTCTGCCTGTTGGATGCTGTAAACTATTTCAACTTTATTTAGGGTTTTTTGGCCAGTTTTATAATTTTATATTGAGATTGTCTTATCACTGTTTTGATTTGTCACTTGTTTGTCTTCAGCATTGAATATTTGCCACTTCATTACTTTTGATGGAAATTGCCCCGAGTCCTCTCAGGGAGATAGGGCAGGTTATAAATAATTAATAATAATAATAATAATAATAATTATTATTATTATTATTATTATTATTATTATTATTATCATCTCTGTTTTTCTCTTCACCATGACATGAAGGAACTGCTTTGAAGGACATACAGCAGAGTAGTTCTGTATTATTATTATTACCTTTATTTTTGTCCCACATTTTCCTCATAAGGACTCAAGGGGCTAACAAGGACATGCCACAATACAATAGAATTTGAAAACAAGGCAGATACATATACATATGATTATAATTTTTTTAAAAAACAACAACTAAATATTTCTGCCACAAATGTAAAAGTAAAAATACAATAAAATGCAATTTAAATTACATTTTAAAACTACACAGCCCCCCCCCCCCCAAATCCCACTCACATCATTCCCAGCAGCCTACCCCTCTTCCTTCCCTAAATGCCTGGTGACAGAAGTATGTATTCAGCTGCCTGCAAAAGGCAAGCAGGGATGGGGCCACCCTGGTCTTTCTAGGGAGGGAATTCCAGAATCCAGGAGCGTCCACCGAAAAGGTCTTCTCCCTTGTTCCCACCAAATGGGCCTGAGAGACTGATGGGACAGAGAGAAGGCCCTCTTAGTCTTCTAAAAGGCCCATAAAGAGAGATATGGTTCTTCAAATAACCTGGACCCATGTCTGGGTGGGAGAAGGGGACTCCCCTTTCCAGTTCCACAGATAGAACTGCTTCAAACAACAGAAGTATGCCATCATATACGGACAATTGTCAGGTGTTGACAAATCCAGAATAATTTGCAGGTTATTCTTTTCTGCTTCTCTGATTCCGTTGCTAAGGATTTTTCAGCCATTTCTATAAACTAGAATGGTACTGTGATGATTGCAGAACCTTATTAGCAATTACATTCACTCACAAGGAAACCTTGGAAATTCCTTTAATGCTGGGTTACTATTCTACAGCAAAGTTATGAATTAAGAAAATGCGGGCAAGTTCCCAGTTCAATACCCTTCAGCCTCCAGGTCTTCTAGTCTGAGCCGGTTGGTCTTTCCCACGCAGGGTCCCAGATGTTTTCACTCTGTTATCATTCCTCAACCTTGGCTGTGAACTCATGGCTTGGAGGTGTTCTCTGTCTTGAACACACCAGATACGAAGTCTATGGAAGGGACTAGATAATCTCAGGGTCAAAATAAAAAGGGATGCATTTTGCTATGATTAAACCTCTGTTCTCATAATGAGATTTCCACAGAGATATACCATAATCCTTAGCAACTAGATTGCTGATTAACCCATTAATATGTGTTTATCTTTCAATGACTAATCAGAAAACAAAGCAAGCCAAATCCAAGATGTGATGATAATTGCAGACGATGACCAACAGGCATCTTTCATTATTTTAGGGAGCATCCTTTCTAAACTGCATGCTCAACATAACTTCTAGTTTCAGCTGTGTCATCAGGAGCAATTGGGATTTCTGAAATGAACACAGAAGGAGTGGTTGCATTTCTTCATTTCATGGGTATTCAAGGAGGACTTTAAGTGGGAGCTCAATGCTTCCTCTTTCAGGTTGAATGGTACGAGATGTTACCTCAATGATGAATTGATGATTGTCAGTCAAAAGTCAACTAATTTTGAGGAACTATGTATCATTGGCTTCCTGTCTCTGTCCTTGGTTGTCGGTTGGTGAAGCTTATCTAATAAATTCTCAGCAAATGATCCATGTGTTTCTGCTGTTGTTTTCACACCAGTTCTAGAATCCAAACTGAATTGGAAAATATAATCACAAAGATTTAAACAGAAACATGACAGACATTGCTAAGATAAATAAATGATGAGTATAACATTCTAGGTCATCTTTCATATTATTTTGCTTTATAGGTACATCAGTTCTAATTAGGCATTCTACATTTCTGCCTTCTCAGTTTATAGGTGAACACACACATGCACAGAGATTTGACTATAGTTTTCTTCTGATTCATTGAATTCAGAACTAAATGTAGTTACACGTGATCAGTATGACGTTTCATGATCTAGGTTATTTATTGTGAGTTTTCTACACTGAAGGGTATAATACCATTTTTCTACTTTTGCTGAAGCTTGTATTAAAGACCTGACTGTGTGCCTGTCCATTTCTTTCTGAACAGCTGAAAAATCTGAGTTTGGAGGAACTACAGATGAGATTGAAAGCTTTGGATCCTATGATGGAACGTGAAATTGAAGAGCTTCGTCAAAGATACACAGCAAAGAGGCAGCCAATTCTGGATGCTATGGATGCAAAGAAACGAAGGCAGCAGAACTTCTGATCTTCTTACTTCCTCAGATAATGATATGGACACCAGGAAAAGCTGTACATAACTGCAAAACTTAAAAAAGCAGAAACTTGGATCTTCACAGCAACTAAAGTGGAAGTACTAGAAGAAAACACATTGTATGTTTTGTAACATGAGCGAAAACCCTGATTTTCATGTTTTCATACAATAGAAATGTCACATTCCACTTCCTGATCCCTTTCAGCTGTATTCTAGTAATGCTGTGTTTTGTAAAATAAGGAGTACTATATGGTTCCTGGTAAGGCTTAAGTCTGTTTCCTAATAGCTCAGTACCACAGCACCTTTAAAGGCATATTTATTGTACACACTTAGCTGATTTTATTTATTTCTATGCTTGATGCTTCTTAACTATAAATGGTGCTTGCAAGTTCGAATAGTGGACGCCAGGGTAGGGTAAGTTAAACATATGTGTGCAGCCACATGATAAAGCTACGTTACTACTATATTAAGACTGGACTCAGGTAAAGAGTGTTAGCTCCAGCAGGCTTGTATGCACCCGCTTAATTCTAATGAGATGTATTTGGGAGCTTGAACTAAAGCATGTTTTAACGCACTTTGCCGATTTGGAGGGGTTTGTAATGCATTGGCTACTTTAAAGAAATGGTCTACCAGATGCAGAGAGTTCAGTCTTTCATGAGAATATCTCTTTGACATAAATGGGGTTTATGTCCTCCTAAACGACTTCTATATTTGAACTTGCTTAGGAGACATTTCCAGGGAGTTTTATAAATCAGTCTTTTCCTTTTGGTGAGTAAGCTCTTACAGAATCAGAGACAAGTGCCTGTATAGTTCCTCTTTTTCTCTCTCTGCCTTTTCGTAGTGCTGGAGAAATGAAGTTCGCTAACTATCCACAGTTCTATTTGCCATTGTTTTTCATTGGCAATAGAGATGGGGAACCTTGCCAACCAGTGCTATTGGATTCTCGCTTCCATCATCCCTGATTATAATTGGACACATGGGCCATGTTAGATGGAAAATAAATTCCAACAACTTTGGAAAATTTCAGGTTGCCATCCCAAACATGTATTCACTAGTTTCTGTACTCACTTGCATCCACAATAAAAGTAATTGTTTATCATTGAACAATCTTAGTTGGGGGTGTTTTACTGTTTTTAGTATTTTTCTCTATGTATTTCTCTTTGTTTTCAAAGTTGGAAACATCTTTTTTAAAAACAAAACAAAACATAGTATTGAGAAATCTAAGTTCAATAGCCAAAGAAAACATCTTCTGCTGGATAGGTACAAAGATGCAGGGGTGCCCAGCCTTCAGCAGCACTTTCTGCTAAATGCCAAAAGCATTTTTACAAAAGGAAATACCCTGCATTTAAAAAAAGAATTTTGGAATTTACTGCTGCTGTATATGAAACACAATGGCTTTTTCTTGCATTTTGAGCAATAAAAGGAAATTCTAGATTAATAATGTCCAAGACTTCTTTCACTACCAAGGCTGATGTATATTTCTACAAGGGAATGTGGATGCAAAGGAAATACAGGCTTAGTGGGAGATAATGTACCAAGATTGTATATCGACAAGGCAGTCTTGCACATCAGTGTACACATGACATTGAGGAGTACAGGGAGTATCAGTAATTTTAAGGCTGCCTATTTTCCCATAGTGAGAAATTTGCTGCTGGCACAGGTATACCAGTGCTATTATTTAGGGCTTTTTTCTGTTGCTTGGATGTTACTTTGGGGCTTTCCTGGAAGCATGCGGCCTCACTGGGTTTGTCTTAGCATGTTGTACTATTTTTTTCAACCCTTAATTAGTGCTTGTAAGTGAAAAGTACTCTTCAGGGTCAATATAGTAGACTCCTTTTGTATGCTCATGGGATCTGCATAATTTTGAAACTGCTTTAAAAGTCACTGCAGGTTTGTGCTTTGGAAATTGCTTTAAATAACCACTTACAAGTTTGTTTCCTTCTGACTTCGATTCATCTGTACCAAATAATATGGCTGTGGTGTTTCTATAATTCCAAGAATGTCTGATGTGTTGACAATTTAAACAGGACTAATAAGAATCTTAATAGTGACCACTAAGTGGATATTGTTCTGTGAAGGATTCTGGATTTTACTAACTATTCTTTTGAAATATGTACTGTAGTATTGTGCACTGCAAACTGGAGAACTACATAGCACATTCTGAAATGCCTTAAAACAGCCATAAGAAATTAACTGTGTAATGGGACCATTCCCTTCTTTTTCAGCTGAGAACTATCTTTACCATGTGCTATTTTTGTGGATACAGGCATGTATTATAAAATCCAAATGGGTTAACTGAAATCTATCCAACCTTTTTACCACCCAGTAAAAACTCTTTCAAACCCTCAATTGTGTTTGTGAAAGAGACCGGCCAGATTGTGCTCACACACTTTACTGGAGCTGATACTCAGTGCTGTTCGCTTCTAATATGCCACTGTTTCGCATCACACCAGAATTGTTACGATGTACTGTGAAATGATAGTAGCTCATTTTGTTTTAAATCTGGTATCGAGAATGTTTTGCCTCATAGTATAGCTACATTGCTAATAATAGATGCATATGTTGTGACCTATGAAACTGTCTTGTTAATAAGCTTTATGGCAAACTAAAATACAGGGAAATCATGCATGTTTTGTTGTTGCCAGTTTAAATTTTGGGAGAGGCCTTTCAGTTTTCAGAGGAGTATCTGGATATCAAGTTGTTATTTGTTTTTAAGAAAAATATGAATTTTTGAAGCCACACCTTTTCCAAATCCACAAAGCAATACCAAAAAGATGAGTGTGGCTTCAGCCTTGTCTTTCTCTGCTGTGCCTTATGCATAATTGACTTTGACCAATCATATGTTCCTTGACTTTCTCTATTGGTGTTGCTTTGATTATTCTTACACAGCGCAAGCCAGAAAGACAATATAAAATCCAGCTGTTAGGCTAAAACACGCAGCATCTGGAAACATCTCTGTTCAGATACTGGCACAGTTCAGATATATATAAATTGCAGCTTAAGAGGCAGAGATACGCACAAGACGTTTGAAGCACCTACCATGTATCCTTGTGTCGCCAGTTCCTCCAAACTTGTGGTAATTTAGGAAGTTGTCAATTAACCATAGTTAGTTCTCATAAACATCTGAACTGTGTTTCCCAGATTCAGAGCTTGTCTGTAAGTTAACCAATTCTAAACCATGAGTACAAATCCTAACTTGTTTAGCCATTGTTATTGCTTAGGGCCCTTCCACATAGCCCTATATCCCAGAATATCAAGACAGAAAATCCCACAATATCTGCTTTGAACTGGGTTATCTGAGTCCACACTCAAATAATGTGGGATTTCTTGCCTTGATATTCTGGGATATAGGGCAGTGTGGAAGGGCCCTTAGTTCCCAGTTCATATGCCACAAGACACTATGGTTAATTGACATTTTCTGGGTTAATGGTAGCCAAGAAGAGAAGGAATGGCATGAGGATAGTTTATAAAGCCTGTATATATATATATGTCTGAATTGTGCCACTGAATTTCACAAAGACCTTTTCACCTATAAAGATTAAATGGAATTTCACTACATTTCTCAGTTTAAAGGTCAAATCAGTACTGTTTAAAGGAAGAGTAAACTGCAAATGCAGCACACGAAATTCGGTCTTTCCAGAGTTTTCCCCTCAAACAATCAGTTCAGTATTAAATACAGTAAATTTTAACAGACACTTGATGTTGCTTTTTATTGAAATAAGCAACAAACAGTACACTAGCAATGGAATTTAGGGATAACTTTTATACACAATTGGCTTTTTAAAATTAATTTTTCATATTTATTAATAGTTACTGAAAGATGCAGTATTTATTCCCATAACCACTTTTATTTCCACTGAAGATATACACCTTTTGTAAAGTATTTATTTTACTAAAACTTGCAATAAATACAGTAGAGTTGACAAGTAGCCTTAGTGAAATTTTAATCCAACTTGGTTTATGGTTTTTTTCCTGTCTTGTACATAAAAGTTTTAAAATACAACTTCCCCAAGATCTGAAAATTAATTGTTTGTTACCAAACATTTTGAATAAAAGCTATTTTCCATCTATGCCTGATGTTGTAATGCTTTTCATTCTAGTTTTCTTAAGCTGCAGTCCTAAATTCTCTTACTAGAGAATGTTTCATTGAACTTGGAGGGATTTCCTTTTGACTAAACGTGCTTAGAATTGTGGTTAGGCTACAATTTTAGGCATACTTATTTGGAAGTAAATTCCATTGAAATTGAAAGGATTTATTTCCACATGTGCCTATCTTAGAACTGACACACAAGTTGGCCAGCTTTGTCTCAAAATATTGTCTGCTTTGATGTTAAGCCTTGCATTAGAGTTTTCTCCAATAGACACCAATGGGAGGTATGTTTAGTCTGCTGTTCTCAAAATCAGATAGAAAACTCAATCTCCCAAAAGCTGGTTAAAAATGACAGATTGTGAGCTCAAGCGTACGGATTATTTTAGGAAGCCATTTAGTAGGCTATTCTAAAGGTAGCATTTTTTCTTGTGTGAAGAAGAATAGTTTAACATGTTTTTTTTTGGGGGGGGGCATTGTTTTACCTGCTGTTTTAGCTCCATGACACTTCCCTTTTTGCTGGCAAAGTGTTTCATGTTGGACTCATTCAAAATGTCACTCTTCAGCAAGCAAATTCCCCATCATAGGGCTCAGGTTCCCTTTGGAGCACTCTAGGATTTGGACTCATAGTCTCCCTCAACTGATTTGCAGAGTAAAGACAGGGATATTATCCTGGGGAAGTGATGTGCCAAAATGACCCTTTCTCTGGGAAGGCTATATATAGGTCGTGGAGATCCATATGGGTCCCTAGGAGCTTTTTGTGGCCTGCCAAACTCCATAAAACCTCCTGCCTAACAAAACTGAGGGAGAAAATGTTAGTCCACATGATAAAAGGTGAGTCTTGGAGGCCTAAAGGAATGGCACATTACAAGAGTGGTGTAGTGTAAACACATACTCCAGCTCCCCCAAATCAAAAGAAAAAACTCTTAAGTAAGAGCCAACGGAAATTGAAAGTAACTTCCTGATGAATTTTTAGCCAGTATTCAGACAATTTGGGGGTGAGGGGAGTAGTCTCTTGGTGGAGCACAGGAATGAAAAGTGGTCTCTCTGTATTGGTACACACTGTTTTCCACTATCTGTCCCAACTACTTAGAGTGGAATAGAACTGAGAGAGGAAGATGTGGGGAGAAAGAATGTATTTGGATAGAATCATCCTATATTGTATCCAAAATTTTGCCTGTATCTATGACAAGCATCCTCAGAGGTTGAGAGGATGTTTGCCATAGATGCAAGTGAAACATCAAGAGAGAATGTCTCTAGAACATGGCCATATAGCCCAAAAAACCTACAACAACCCAGTGATTCCAGCCATGAAAGCCTTCGACAATAAATCATCCCATACGTTATATCTCTTTTAATTGGATAATCTCTGCTTGTCTTTTATTGTATTTGACAATACATTAGATATCCAATAATACATTTCATGCACACATACTGTATATATACAAAGTCAAATTAACAAGTCCACTTCACAGGCTATACAATTACTCTCACAGAGTTAGCACGAATAGTTCTGGTGTTCTTGCAAGAGCTTTCTCAGTTTGCAACACCAGGACCTCAGCGGAAGGGAATTATCACACAAAGAAAAGTGGCGGGTCACCAGCAAGTTTGTGTCCTTTGACAGGTTTTTCCCCATCAATGAAAAGTGATGATCCAGTTACAGTTCAAGAACACTGTGAGTACGTGTCAGCAACAATATTGTATAGTAAACCCCATCAACAGGTGATTTTATCTTGCTGCAATTATGCTTTGGCAGCCTCATGTGATAAAGTCCGTAGCCCAGCATTGCAACTGGTAGGTATCACAATGGATTTCATCTTTTGGTTTTAAGCCATTTCAACTCAGGCACAAGAGTGTATGGAAATGAAGAAGAAGAATGGTTAAAAAGCCCTGTAGCCTTCAGCTGATTCGTAGAAACAGCTGATTTGTGAGGAAGAGAGGGAATCAGAGCTTCTGTCTAAGACACTTATGCTGTTAACAGCAGGTCTGCAAAAGGAGTTTTCCTTCAGTCAGGCAGAGATGTTCCCCACCGCTGTTCTGGGGGTGGAAAGAAAGAGAAAAAAGAAACAGCACTAATTAAGTCAAAAGAGGATGTAATCATAGTTAAGAACCACTTTTGCAAATTCTTAGGCATAGCTCCCCATCAAAAATAGACCCAAGTGCATCAGTGGGATTGGCACAGGCATCATTCCATACTTTAAGAGAAGGAAATGTTTCCATGGGGGTCCTTGTGCTATTCTGTATGAGAGATTCCCTACCCCGATTATTTACTGAGACAATGTAGGAGTATTTTTAAGCAATTATTTATTTCAATGCATTTTTATAAATGGATCTAATTTATCTATATAAATAAAAATGTAATGTTCGTTTGTGGCATTAACAGAACTCAAAAACCACTAGACTAATTGACACCAAATTTGGACACAGTACACCTAACAACCCAATGTATGTCCTTCACTCAAAAAAATGATTTTGTCATTTGGGAGTTGTAGTTGCTGAGATTTATAGTTCACCTACAATCAAAGAGCATTCTGAACCCCACCAACAATGGAATTGAACCAAACTTGGCACACAGTTCCCCCATGACCAACAGAAAATATTGGAAGGGTTTGGTGGGCAGTGTCCTTTGGTTTTGGAGTTGTAGTTCACCTACATCCAGAGATCACTATGGACTCAAACAATGATGGATCTGGACCAAACTACACGAGTACTCAATATGCCCAAATGTGAACACTGGTGGAGTTTAGGGAAAATAGAGTCTTGACATTTGGGAGTTGAACTTGCTGGGATTTATAGTTCACCTACAATCACAGAGCATTCTGAACCCCATCAATGATAGAATTGGGCCAAACCTCCCACTCAGGAACCCCCATGAGGGCCACAGTAATGCGTGGCAGGGACGGCTAGTATTCTTATAAATGCAAACAATACAAGCTTATAAGTTTTTCTCATAGAATACATCTAATTCCCAAATTGTTCAAACCTTCATTAAAAATTGGGAAAATGGGGCATTTCAGTTCCAACAGAGGAGGAAATAAACTTAAAAGGGAGCCCAGCTATTTCCTAGACAGTAAACAAGTTTGCATTCAATTGGTTATGTGATTTCAGCTTTGCTAAAACCTTGGGGTTTGGATCTGGAGTGCCAAGCTTCCGAAGGACCAGATGAGACACAGACAAGTTGAAGGCAAAATCAGAGGCTTTAATCTTAATAGCCAAAGAGAATGTCAGCAGAGACAGCACTCCAAAGAATTGACACACCTCAATGCAACAGACAGAAATACTTACAGTATTTTGACAGCAAAGGACTTCTGTTACCATGAGAATTGATTGGTCCTGATCAGGGCAGGTTAGGTTATGCAGGCTGGTTAGCTGGGATGCGCTGGGGTGCAGATTTGTCTTTAGGTTTGGAAGGATATTTAATAAACAGTCATAGGTATATTTGAAGGTTTGTGTCTGTTTATTGATCCACCCAGAAGAAAGGTGTGAGTGGAAAGGAATGTGGTGTGGCAAGAGATAATGGGTTGAAATAGGTTTTGATGTCTCTGTTTCAGTAAATACAATGGACACCAGCCAGGTTGTTCAGGGTGTTGGCTTATTCAATGGAGACCTAACAGAAGGGGGTCTGGCACAACCCTATAGATGAGGAAACATTCCCAGGATAAAACCAGAACACACCATAGAGGGAAAATAGGAAAAGATGGGGTTTGTACACACGTCCACCCTCACCATCCACCCCCCACTCCAGTTTCCTGGTGATAATTATAATAATTTGGGAAATCATTTCATGAAATCTGCAGTGTGGTGGGGCAACATTCAAGGGAAATTCTTGAGAGGTTATTATAGGGCAAAATGGAAAAGGCAATGCAGACATGCTGAATGTCCTGATAGAGCTCCGTATCTCAGTTCATAATTTTGGGGTCTAGTTTTCAATAATAAAAACACATAATATTTTATGGATACCACTACTATCCACCATTTATATTGTACTTCTATTTATCAACGTTCTTTGAACTACTTCCATTGTATGTGTACCTTCCATTTGCACAGTAAGGCAGAAAAATCGGCTAATTTGAAATCAACGGAGGAGCAGGTACAGATCACAGCTGGGAATATAATCCAAATGTTATCCAATGGAGACAGAGCTAAGGGTAGAATTAATGGGTACACTGTAGAATTAATGCAACTTGACACCACTAACTGCTATTGCTCAATACTGTGGGATCATAGGAGTTGTAGTTTTATAAGGTCTTTAGCCTTTCTGCCAAAGAGTGTTGGTATCTCACCCAACTACATATCTTAGGATTTGTAAATTTGTAAAATGGTGCCAAACTGCATTAATTCTATAGTATACATGCACCCTTAGACTGGTAATGGCACCCAAAGGTCCTTGAGTTGTTGACGGCCACAACCACAAGGGAGAAATGGAAAAAAATGGGAGATGCATAATGGTAAGAGAAGGAGGTGACATTAAACCTGCTTCTTCCTTCTGGGCTCACCCACACTCTGGCACTGTCTAACAGATGTTGAAAAGACCAAGCCGTGGAAAATAATATTTTGGACTACATACAACTTGTAGAAACCCCCAGCCATTCTGGGAAATCAACAAAGAATATTATGGCGTTTTAAAGGCTAACAGGTTTTATCTGGCACACACATTTGTGGATTCCAGCCCACTTTCATGAATTTTACAAAAGCTTAATGATACAAGGTGTCACAAGAACTGCCATTGTTTTTCCTGAAACAGAAGAACACCACCACCTCGCTCAAAGTAAACTATAAAAGTAGCATTTCCAGGTTCTACATCAGTGTTTCTCAACCTGAGGGTTGGGATCCCTGGGGGGGTGGGTTGCAAGGGGGTTTCAGAGTGGTCTCTATAGACTATCAGAAAACACATATGTCTGATGGTCTTAGGAACCCCTTTGGCAGAGAAGGCTGAAGATCTCTCCTGTCCTTCTCTTCCTTTTTGAAACAAACGGCAAATCC